AATCAAAAGTTTATGCAAATGTCAACAATTTAAGGAGCATTAATTAAATATGAAACCAAAGACACAAAGTTGTTAGATAACCACCTTGACCACAAAACTATCACCGTTTACTCCCCATGACACAACGTGATTATAAGAGTCATCCTCCAACATCCTTTAAAATAAACAAAAGATTTTGGATTTCTGACTGTCAAAAAGTTAAAACTACTTTGTTTTAATAAAAACTTACTTGAAAAGCTTTTTAACAAAGTCTGGACCTCCTCCGGGAGTATTACTCATGGTTTTTGATTTTGTAACAGAAAATCGATTATGGACAATTAATGTTTCAACGAATATAAAAAGGTGCGGGTCGAGTCAAACTTAACAAATTTCAGACTTAAAATTTAACGTGTTTTTGTGGAGTAAATAATGGACGAATAAAAATGTAATGTAATATGCATAATATGCATTCTGCAACCATGTTTGTTATACATGGGAATAGCATATTACCATACAAATCTAGATCATTTTAAAAAAAAATAAAATTTGAATGATATTAAATATATTGTAATTTGTGGAAATGTTAGTCATCCCATTTGACTAAAATTATAATGATTAAAGAAACGACAATGAATATCGTTTATCGTTTGAATATCGTTTGTTCAGGTTCTAAAAAAAAAAAATGTGATCAGCAATTACGGAATACAAAATTTATAATTAATGGTCTTTTCTAAAAATATACTAGTCTGTTTTATTTTGAAAACAGGATTAGCAGGATAATAACTAGCGATATAAATAAAACTTTTGATATACTTACAGACATGTTATAATTGTTTCGGAAAGAACAGTGAGATTTTGCCAAATTGCAGGCATCTTGAAAGTTTTCATGTTTGTCTAAAAGTTAAGATCAAAATAATAAAGTAAATCATTGCATATGACTAGGTCATTTGACCAATTTAAATAAATTCAAATGATATCAAATGATCATTCTAAAATCAAATGACCTGGATTATTTAGGTCATTTGAATATTAGATCAATAAATAATAAATAATTTGTTTTTAAAAAATATTTTGATTACATTGTTTTAAATTTAATAAATTTATTAAATATCTGCATTTTTTGATAAAGTTAATAAGAATAATATAATTTTCATAATTTTTTTAGTTATACTTACAAAAATATATATATTACCTATTTCTCTGAAAAATCTCTGATTGTTTTATTTTAAATAAAGTAAAATTATCTGAATTTTTTAAAAAGTGTAATAAAGATAAAAGAAATAAAATCCTTTTATACTATTTTTTAAGAAAATAAAAAAAGCTTTTAATCAAAAAAATACAATTAATAAACCTATATTAAAAGCAAAGATAATAGTTTTAAAATTTCAAAATCCTAATCTATCATCTAATATTTTTATCTTAAATAAATAACCAATTCTTACTAGCTGTATATTAAGTTCATTATTATAATAAAATAAGATAGAATATATTGCAAAAAACCAAATAAAGTAAATATTGGTATTATAGAATTTTAGGAATCAAAATTTATAATGTGATTATTAAAATTTTCATTTGTTTATTATCTTAATATTTAGTAATATATAGAACTACTCCTATATAAAAATAGTTAATATGAAACTAATTTATATCAGATCTACTATAGTATTCAAAAATTATAATATCATTAGAAGTATTTTGAAAAAGAAATAAAGTGAAAAAATTGCTTCTTATATTTTTAAAATAAATGATACTTAAATACTAAAAGCTTATCTAAGAAAAGAAAAATTATCTATAAAATTTATTAAAAGAAAAAAATAAATATAGTAAACATTACTATACATATACAGTCAACTCTTGTTATAACGAACTCTATGTCCTAGACTTCAACTTCGCTATAAAGCTATAGTGAAGATTTTAAGAGATTTTATTGACCAATTCGCTATAACAAGAGTATTTTTATTATATTTGTTCAAAAAATTCGTTATATCAAGAGTTCGCTATATCAAGAATTGACTGTATATAGTAATGTCTACTTATATTATAGTGATACTTACTTATAGCTATATTAATGCCTACTTACTTATTTTTATACATTTATGTCCTTTTTATTACTTTATTTTATCTATTTATTTTTATTACTTTGCAATCATTTGGTTGCTTTATAAATATTTGCTTGATTTTATTACTCTGTTCTCTTTTTACTGCCTTGTAACTATTCGCTTAATTTTAATACTTTATAGTCTTTTTATGGACAATTTATTATGCCAGTATTTGTTATAAAATTCATGTTGTGATCAGGTAGTACAGTTAAATTATATAACTTTATTTTAGTTAATTTCAGCCTGAATTATTGTAATTTACTATGCCAAAAAAACATGTGTAAGATACATTCTTATCACTTTTCTGTTACTTTTGAGAAATGGGCTAGAGGATCAGAAGTATTAAAATCAGCCTATATAATTACCAGAAATTAGTATCAAATTTGTAATCTATTTATTTTTCCTCTCAATTGCCATTTTTTAATTACCAGATAAGATATGAAGTGCTGAATTGGTGATTCACATAATCTCGCCTTTATATTTCTATTTGATTACTAGGTTGAGATACAAAATGCTAAATTTGCAATTTATCTATTTGTCAAAGATGTATCGTAATTCATTTACTCCCTTTTTGATTGCTGATTAGGTACATATAAAGTGCCAGTATTGTGCTATTCTTGCATTTCTGTCTATAACCCTTTTAATTGCTGAAGATGAGGCACAAAGTGCTAAATTGGTAACTTAAATATGCAATTCTATCTTTTATAAGCTTTTTGATTGCTAAAAATAAGGCATAAAGTATTGAGTTAATAACTCAGATGTGCAAAATTTATTCTTTCTTTTTTATATATAATTTTGCACATCTGAATCATTAAAATTTCACATATTTTAGCTTTTAGACCCTATTCTTATATAGTTACTACTTCAGAATATTTTTGCATTGATTACTTTAGAGTATTATTTAATATATTTATTACATATTCATGCTAGTAATCTGATTAGAGACCAAAATGGTTTATATTTTTTTATTTCATTTTTGAGTCATACATATTACATTTTTATTTTAAATTTTGTAAGTTTCTTTGTTATTTTATACTAATTTCTTGTATATATTATCATGCTTATGCAAAAAAAATTTTGGGCCTAGTCTAGCAAAATAAATGAAGCAATTAAGCTTTTCTTTAGTTTAACTGACCTCGATTATAAGCCTGATTATAATAATTATATATACTTTCAATATCTATCTAATAGTAAAAATAACGTCACTTTTCTGAATACTTATTATCCTAATAAGATTTTTAATAAATATATAGTTTAGGTAACAGGAAAGGATTTTACAGTAGTTGATCATCTATTTGAAGTTTATGAGTTTTCTAATACTCATAAAAGTATTGATAAGAATTTATCTCTTCATCTGATTTTAAATATTAATGCAAGGCAAAATCTGATCCTATGAATTTTGAACTCCCTTCTTTAAATGAAAATAAAATTATTTGAGAGGATTTATTATACAGAATTTTAATTAACTGTATTAATATCTTATATTTTAATTTAAAGTATTTTGCAATATTAGATACTTTTATTTTAGCCAGCTCGTCTAATGCTAATAAATACAGTTAGCATATTATGTATAAATATGTATAGTTTGTTGACTACAGAGACCTTAGAGAATTTGTGAAAAAGTTGCTGATAGGATTGGAAAATTATATTCAGATTTTATCAATATTAGGCTATACAAATCTCATTTTAGTCTTTGTCTTCTTAGATCAACAAAAAAGATAGAGTTAAAAAAATCTGTGATTTCTTCAGTTAAAAACAGATATTACAAGCTAGAAGATTATTTAGTTCAACCTAAACTGGATTATTCTAAAATCTGATCACAAACCTTTTCTCTTGAAAAGCCAGAATAAGATAAATTTTAACCTATTGAAGATGAAACTGTCTTAAGCAAGAGAGTTGATTTGGTTACTGTAAAATATGAATAGTTTGAGATTAGTAATATTAAGAAGAGATTTGTCAACTTTCAAGTGAAGTCATATGAAGTATGTCCTATCTGCGAAATCAAACATGAAAAGGATCAGTTATATAGATTTCTTCAAAATAATGGTATTTTATACTTAAATACTACTAGTAAAAATAGTATAAACCTGATCATAAGAAATTAGTATTTGAAAAAGTAATCAAAATTTCTGCAAAACTTAAGTGAGAAATAGTCAAAAGAATAGCTGATTCTATATCAAATTCATGCCTCTTTATAGAATTATCAGAGACAGTTATTAATGTAGAAAAATTAAAAGATGCTTCTGAAGTATATTCTAATTTTTTGAATTCTGAGAAAATGACAATGCTTATTCATTCTCTTCCAGAAACATAAAAAACTACTGCGTTAAGAGAGAATATTATGGTATTGAAAGATAAAATATATAATATTTCTTCTTTATCATACTATATCTGAATCTCTTACTGAAAGTCTTTTAATAATGAATCAAAAGTGAAACTTAATGAGTTAGAAGTATCAGGTTTTTAAATTTGTAATTACCAAAATATATAAGAAGATTTATCTATAAAACAATGAGATATTATCATAGTGCAAATTGAGAGTCTATTTCGTATTAAGTTTTCAGTCTGTCTATTTGTAACTATTCTCGATGAGGCTGCTATTATATGTTAAATGTCTAGTGGTATAAATACATAGAAATCTAAAAATGTAAAGCGTGATGTCTTAAGATCTGTGAAATATGTTTTAGCCATAAATGCCTTTGCAAATAAATCAATATTAGCATTCCTTAAGATATATTATAGTAAAGGTATTCATATAATTGATAATAGATATCAGTCTCGTGTAGATAAAATAGTTGAATTTATTTATGATTAAAATAATAGAGCAGAAGCTATACGAATAGGATATAACTTTTTGAAATAGGATAAACGTATAGCATTTGTATCTACTAGAGCAGTGATGGCTAGAATGTTAGTAGAAAAAGTATCTAAATTATTTAAATCTAATAATTCGCCTATTAGAATCTGTGCATATTATGGGATATAGATAGAAAATAGTAAAAAAAAGATTTTTCTGATATTAATATCGCTTGGAGCAAGCTTGACTGTATAGCTTATACAAATACAGTGAAAGCAGGAATATCATTCAAGGTTACAGGTCACTTCAATATAGTTATAGCTATTATAAATATCACTATTTCAGTTCATATCGAAGCTCTTGCATAAATCCTTTATCAAATTCGTGATTATTCTTGCCGTATT